GTGGATAATGATATGATCTTTACCAACTTCATCAAATTTTCAAATGTTTAGTGGAATTTAAGCGGTACACCCGGAAGGAACGAACATTAGCCACGCATTGTTTATGGTTTTACTATTCTCTAGTTGAGCTAAAAACACTATTTGACCAATTGTGCATTTGAGCATTGGAGATATTATTTTTATAAACGATAATAATACCTCTCTCTTAAAATAAAATTCAGTTGACAAATGAAGTGTTTAACAAAATATAGTTGTGGAGGTATATCAACACTTCCCTATTTAACAAAACATATTGTAAATAAGGTATTTTAAAATAAAATAAAATTATATTGTGATAATAAAAATGAAACATGATATGATCTTGAGATATATATTATCCTAAAATTTTACGGGGCACTATGTATATTTTTATATTTTTCTAGCAACACGTCTTGTGTGTGGCTGGCCACACGGTGTGGCCGGTTGTAAAAGAATTAAGTAACTACTATAACATTGACCGAGTAACCCCTACAACATTGACAAAGTAACCCTTGTAACACTGACCAAGTAATCCATGTAACACTGATCGAAAAACCCCTGTATTACTGACCGAGTAACCCCTATTATGTCTGGTCACACTATGGGACTAACCACACATAATTAAGAATTTGTGTTTTTCTAGATTTTTTGGGAGATCATTCTCTTCCTTGAAAATCTAATCTGTTGAATAAGATTATCCGCTAAATTTGAAAAACTATAATGTTTGTTGAGCTTAGAGGATCAAGTTACACGAACATGTAGCAGGAGGGAAGAAATCTCGGAAAGTAGGTGAATCAATTACGTTGTTGTTTGAAAACTTAAACTCTTTCCCTCCCAATAAATAGTTTCTTATAGTAATATATATGACTAATATGAGGTTATGACTATGAGCCTATGAACATTGAAAACTTTATCCTATACTCCGTAACTAGGATCATGATGCACATCGTGTTTTGAAGAATGAACATACAGTTCAAAAATATGAACATTTATTTGTAGGAAATTTTGTCAACAACTAAAAATTTAAGTCCCTATTTTGAAAACAACTACCTTTTAAGAAAAAAAATTTAAAACAAGGAAATTTTCACTTTTGCTACCACTAAAACACCCCTGTTTCACTTTTGCTACTCCTCAAAAATTTTATTTTATTTTGCTACCACCTAAATCACATAATTTAAATTTCACTACCACTTAACGGAATCTATTAGGGTTCCATTAAGTTTATTAAAAAAAAAAAATTAAATGTTTACAAAAAAAAAAAAAAACCCAGCCATCCCCTTCCCCCGCCCGTCAGCCACCCTCCTCCATCCCTTTCCTCCACCTATGCAGCCCACCACCCCTCCCGTCAGCTAGCCTCACCCCTCCCCCCTGCCGGCGACCGGCGCCCAAAGCGTCGGCCGGCGCCGACAACCCTAACAACCACCCCCCTCAACCCCACCACTAGAAAATGCGTTAGACTAGCTAACTCACCAGCCCACCACCACCACCGACTCCCTCCTAAACCCAGACTAGCCATCACCACCACCGACTCCCTCCTAAACCCAGACCAACCACCATCACCCATCACTGACATCCCCAAAATCAAAGCTCACCATCGCCAACAACCCCTAAACCTAAATCCACCATCGTTGAACCCAAATCGAAGGTCGCCATTGCCGAAAACTCAAACCCACCCACAAAACCCAACCCAAAACCAACCACGAAATCCCCCACTCATAGTCTCCCACGATACCCAACCCAAAACCACCCGCAATACCCAACCCAGAACCACCCACGATCCCAACCCAGAACCACCGTACCAAAAACCAAACCACCAACCCCTCAAACAAGAGAGAAGGGGGATGGGGTTTCGTGATGGTGGAGGAAGGGGGGTGGGGTTTCACGGGTTAGGGGTTTGGGCTAGGGTGGTGGCGCGACGGGGAAATGGGAGGGGAAGGGGTTAGGATCTGCCAAGGGGGATGGCTGGGCTGGTGGTTGGAAGGGGTGATGCGGGCCAGGTGGCTGTGGGATGGAGGGGAGTGGCAGGGGAAGGGGATTGGTGGCTGGGGAAGGAGGAGAGAGAGAGGCAGGGTTGAAGTGGGGCCCACAAACGGCAATAGTAACAAATTTCGTCAACTGGTTGCAAATTTTAACAAATGTGATTTTAGGTGGTAGCAAAATAAAATAAAATTTTTTAGGGGCAGCAAAAGTGAAACAGGGGTGTTTTAGTGGTAGCAAAAGTGAAAATTTCCTTAAAACAACTACCACAAACTTGTAAAAATTTAGAATAGCACTACCACTCTTAAATTTCCGGCAAGAATCTCCGGTGAGCGGATCCCACTTTCTACCTTTCCCTCCAATTTTTGTTGCTCTCTTCTCTCTATATAACTGCTAATGTTCGTTTTCCAATTGAACAAAATTTCCTAATTTTTTCTTCCAAATTTCTTCCTTTTTTCACCAATTGAGCAAGAGGAATAATTTTTGGAACATTACATTAGGTAATTTGAGAATTTTATATGCTAATTAGGGTTCTTAATGACTAAAAATTAGGGAAATTAGGGTTTTGTAATTTTTTGCTTTTTGGGTAAACTGAATGGATTTATCGACATTAGGGTTTATTAATTGGTTGTTATCCATGTATTTGCAGGATTGTTGCGAATTGAATCATGTCCAATTCATCCTATGAATCAGCTCGTCCTTTTCCTAACAAGTGTTATTGTGGAATCCCCGCAAAGTGGAAACTTCTTGGACCAGCACCAATCTTGGAAGAAGGTTTGTTGCCTGTAAGTTTTACGATGCCTATACTGGTAGGCGTGGATGCAAGTTTTTTGAATGGATTGATGTAGAGATTGTGGAATGGCAAAGGGTCATTACCAACCAGCTTGTGTTGGAGAAGAAGTTGATGAAGGCAGAAATAGCTAATTTGAAGCAAGAGGTTTGTTTGCTGCAAGATCAAAAAGCAAGCTTGGTTGAGCAAAATGAAAAATTCAGCAAGAAATTGAAGGGTTCATCCTTGAAATTAAAGAGAAGGGAAGGTAGTTGGGTCTGGAATAAAAGAGGGGCAATTAGGTAATTTCGGATGGTCAAATTGGAGGGAAAGGTAGTAAGTGGGACCCACTCACCACAGATTCTTGCCGGAAATTTAAGAGTGGTATGTAGTGCTACTCTAACTTTTTTACAAGTTTGTGGTAGTTGTTTTAATTTATTTTTTTAAAAGGTAGTTGTTTTCAAAACAGAGGCTTAAATTAGTAGTTGTTGACAAAATTTCCTTATTTGTATAATAATTACGAACATTGAGAGTGAGGGACAGTTTAAGTGGTTAGAGCTTCTCTTCCGATTTTAGAAGATCTTGGGATTGATTCTCACCCCTGCCCATTGTGGCTCAAAAAAAAAAATTACGAACATTACAGTCAGTCTATTTTTCTTACTTACTTCATCAATGAAAATGAACACATATATTTATTCTAAGAAAATAAAATAATATATGTTCCCAATTTTGGAGCTATATACATGTAATCATTTGGGACAACGGCCAATGGTGTGCATCGTAGGCGTATGATTCTATATACTATAGGATTGTGTTAGAAAATACATAAAAACACAATGAAGATCTGTAGCATAATTTACACAATCCTCTAAAGTTATTCAATTTATATTAGGTCTCGTTCTTTTAGATTACAATAATATAACTAAATAAACTAAACTTAAATATTGTTGTTGTTGTTGTTAATTTAATTTTCTGAACTAAAATTTTGAAAAACAACTCCAAAGAGCAGGACTAAACAGACATTTATATTCAAATTTTGCAAAACAATAAAAGTTTTAAAACAAATCCATTTTTTTAGTGTCGAGTCATTCTCCGTAGTTATTAAAATCCCGATCGATTAAATCTTAGAATCATACTATTTTATGATTAAGGTATATCCATACAATTTGATTTACTATTCTATCCGATTTTACACATTCCTCTTACTTAGTGAAAACCTTACAAGTTTAAAACATGCATATAAGGCTATTTATAAATATATATGGTCAATTATTGGTTGTTTAGTGGGTAAACAACTATTTTCTTAGTAATTAGGTAATTTTAACTTGCAATTTAAATATATTCAATTAAATTTAAATATGACATCTTGATTATGCATGTCCGTTGAATCTTATGATTCTACATTTCGATTTTGAATCCTCTTTCGATTCAAAGTAGAATCTCGATTTTGAGTGAGACACAAAAAGCAATGATATAGACATAATTGAATCACTTTTTTTTTTTTTTGATATAATAAGATTTAGTTATTGATATAAAAATCAAAAGACATATACTTAGAGATTTAGTTTTATAACATACACATATAACAATTGAATTGAATAAAATAAATATTTTTCTTTCTACAAAGCTACGATCATGCTTACATACCAAACGTTGTTTATACCCTCTTTCGAATTCATATCATGTTTTAAAATCGTGTTCAAAGAGGGTGTTTCTCAATCTATGTAATTGTGAAGATAAATTTCATATGATTCATCTGATGTAATTAAAAGATTAACTTTTTTTTTTTTAATTTGCATAAATCTTGTTAGATAATGTAAACTCCTTGGGTTGGAGTGTATTCCATTGCTCCATATATATAGGGTTAGAGCCATGAGTCCTATTATCATAGGAAATCTCAAAAGATATCTATCGAATATTCACAAAACTATATCCTTCTGTACAAGATAATATCTAGAATATTTATCATATTCTATCACACCTCCGCAGTCTTAGCGGGAGGAGGACGGACGCTGAGACTGGATCTAAACTCCAAAATTAGCTGTTAAGGGAGGCCTTTCGTGAAAATGTCTGCAAACTGATAACGAGATGTAACGTGCAAGACCCGTACATGCCCCAACGCCACCTTCTCACGAACGAAATGAATGTCCATTTCGATGTGCTTGGTGCGTTGGTGCTGTACGGGATTATGAGATAAATAAATTGCACTGACATCATCACAATAAACAACAGTGGCCTACCGAAGAGGGCAGTGTAACTCCAAAAGTAGATTACAAAGCCAACATGCCTCAGAAACAACGTTAGCGGCGCCTCGATATTCAGCCTCTGCACTAGATTTTGAAAAAGTAGGTTGACACTTAGACGACCAGGAAATGAGATTATCCCCTAGAAAGCAACGGTAACCCGAGGTCGAACGACGGGTGTCTGGACACCCGCCCCAATCTGCATCAGTATAAGTAATCAAGTGCATGGATGAAGAAGGATATAAGTGTAACCCGTGATCAATGGAGTCCTGAATGTAACGCAGAATGCGTTTCAATGCATCATAATGAGCCTGTCTGGGATCATGCATGAATAAACACACCTGCTGGACTGCATAAACTATGTCAGGGCGAGTGAAAGTGAGGTACTGTAGTGCACCTGCAAGACTATGATAGAGTGTTGGATCACGAAACTGAGGGCATGTCTCTGCACAAAGCTTGGATTAAGTATCCACTAGAGTCGCCGTAGGTTTACAACTAGCCATGCCTGCGCGCTCTAGAATCTCCTGTGCATATTTCTTCTGAGACAAAAACATATATGAAGGAGTACGAGTAACAACAATGCCCATAAAATAATTGAGTGGACCTAAGTCAGTCATTGGAAATCCAGTGCGTAAGTGAGAAATGATGCGGTCACATAACAGATTTGAGGAAGTAACCAACAAAATATCATCAACATATAATAGCAAATATGCCATGTCTTTCCCATGTCGGAAAATAAATAATGAATTGTCACTTTTAGCAATGACAAACCCCATCTGCAAGAGAAATTTAGCAAACCACTGATACCAAGCCCTTAGAGCTTGTTTTAAACCATATAGAGCCTTGCGAAGCCTGCAAACATGGCCCAGAAAACGCTTGTCAACAAACTCGGGAGGTTGATGCATGTACACACACTCATTCAGATCGCCATGCAAAAAGGCATTTTTCACATCAAGTTGGTGAATAGACCACTGACGAGCCATAGCCAAACTCAAAAAGTGCGTATAGTGGCCGGTTTAACAACCGGACTGAAGGTTTCATCACTATCAACACCTTCTACCTAAGACCTGCCATCACAAACTAATCGAGCTTTGTGTCTTTCAAGATCACCATTAGCATTCATTTTTTGACGAAATAACCACATACAGTTATCAATGTTCACCCCTGCAGGCCTAGGAACCAAATCCCATGTCCCCGTTTCAATTAAAGCACTATATTCATCACGTATCGCAACATTCCAATTTGGGTCGGAAATGGCTTGTTTGTGATTTTTTGGAAGCGGGGAACGAATGATGGCAGATAGACCGAACTTCGGGTTTGGTTTAACTATTCCGTGCTTAGACCGAGTTTGCATGTAAGGTGATAATGGCGGTGGTCTAGTTGGAGTAATTGGCGTTAGGCCGTGAAGGGGAGTTGGTGTGTATTGGATGAGGTGCTTGGAGAAGGGCTTGGGCTGATTTGAGTGGTGTGAGGTAGTTGGCAAAGTGGGTTGTTGGGGTTGTTGCTGGGCCGTAGGTGTGTGGTTTGTGGAAGTAGCCTGCCGGGCCGTAGGAGGGGATGGCAGTGAAGGCCACAGCCCAGCTGTGGCTGATGGAACAGCGCCACAACCGGCATGTGGAGTGGGCTGCTCTGTGTGGCGTGCTGGCTGGGTTGTTGGCCGCAACCCACCTGTGGCCTGCTGAGCAGTGCCATAGCCCGCCTGTGGAGTGGGCTGGTTGGGTGTGCGTGGTGTGGGTTGCATACGGATGTGGTGTTGCAAGATTGGTGAAGGGTCATCCGACGCTAGAAAATCATAGTCATTCGATTGAAACTTAGTGAGATGAGTAAATGGAAGAGTATTTTCATCAAAAGTGCCATGACGAGAGATTATGATTTTATTGGTGATGATCTCCAAACACCTATAGCCTCTATGATCGGGAGGATAGCCCAAGAAAACACATGGGGTGGAGCGAGGTGCAAGCTTATGAGGCATTGTTGCTGATAAGTTCGGGAAACAAACACACCCAAAGACCCTAAGATGAGCATAGGACGGGACAACCCCAAATAAAGCTTGAGCCGGAGTGATTTGATTGAGAGTTTTGGTAGGCATAATATTTAGGAGATAAGTGGCCGTTTCTAAGGCATAATGCCAAAAGGCCGGTTGAAGTGATGCATGAAACAATAGAGTACACTTAACATTGTTAAGAGTACGAATCATGCGTTCGGCTTTGCCATTTTGAGAAGATGTGTGAGGACAAGAGAAGCGAAAAACCAATCCATTTTTGACACAAAATAATTTGAACGGGTCATTGTCAAATTCTCGACAATGATCACTTTGAAAAGATTTAATAGAACGTTCAAATTGGGTTAGAACATATTGTCGAAAATTGAGAAAGGTTTGAAAAGCTTGAGACTTATATACAAGAGGAATAGTCCACACATAATGAGTATAATCATCCAATAGAACTAGATAATATTTGTGACCTTTATCACTACGAATAGGAGAAGTCCACAAATCGGCATGAATAATGTCAAAAGTAGAATAAGTAGTGCTATTGGAATTAAGAAAAGGCAAGCGAGTATGTTTTCCTAATTGACAACCTACGCAAATAGTGGAGTCGTGCTCCTTATTACAATCAATCAAATTTTTACTTCTAAGAAAATTAAAGGTGGGTGCCCCTGGATGTCCTAAGCAGTTGTGCCACGTGGATGAAGACAAGGTTGTGACTCACCCGACCTGAACCCAACCCTAGACCCGAGTTAACCCGAGTATTTGAGACCCGAACCGAACATGAACTGACCTGGAGATGACTCGACCTAAATATAATCCGTAAAATATTGACTTGAACCGAACCCGACCTAAACCGAAATTGAACCAAACCCGTTTTAACCTGAATTTAACCCGACCTGAATTCAACCCGACCTATTCCTAACCGGACCCGAATTTAACCCGACCTATTACTAACTCGACTCGAAATTAACCCCAATCTGTCACTAACCCGACCCGAATTCAACCCGACTTGTTATTGACCCGAAATTAACTAGAAATCTAGGATTACGTCATATCATTTTTTCCCCCTAATTCTATGAGTTATTTTCCTTTTAAAGCTTATTCAAATATTTTTAATAAAATTCTCTATTATCAAATGTATTACAATTTATATGTCTCAAAAAAACCTATAAAAATTTATGAATACCACTACTTTTTGGATGCATGTGCATTCTTTATTTAAATTTAGTAACTACGATTTACGAATACTACCACTTTTTAGGTGCAAGTTCATTCGATATTTCAATTAAGCAATTATGATTTACGAATACTATTACTTTGTAGGTGCATGTGCATTAATGTAGTCAATTACGGTTTACAAATACTATTTGACCTTAGGCTTGGTTGTTTTATTTTATATTTTATAAAAAAAAAATTCAAATAAAAAAAAGTTAAAAAAAATAATAATTTCGGATAATGATTGAATTGAATGTGATAATGATTGAATGCGAGCATAAGTATATGACAATGACCCGATGATAATCTGACCCAAATAATTTACCTGTACCCGATCATGACTTGACTTGTCTGAATTCGAGAAAGTGGTGACCCGAACTAGAGTTGTTAAAAGGCTTTTATCGGTCTTTTATTTTTCTAATTTTATTATTCATTTATCTATTTAATCTTATTTAAATGTTTTAAATAATGCCATTTAAATGTCTTAAAAACATGCCATTTAAAAAAACGTGAACTCGGATATGAACTTATAAAAAATAAATAAGTTTAGATATATAATTTCAAATAAAATAAGTTTAGAAAAAAAAATTATTGTATTTTAACTTATATAAACTAAACCTAATTTATCCGCATTTATATGAACTTATTGTATTTTATCTAAACATGTCATCTCGAATATGAACTTATTTAAAATTGTTATCCCTAAAATAAGTGGAATCAATGTGAATAGATTAGAATAGGGTTTGAACTTATCTTCTACAAATCTAAACTAAACCTTTTTTATTGGAATTAATATGAACTTATTATGTAGATCTTATCTAAACTTATTAGAACTTATTACCTCGAATTTAAACTTATCTGAAATTATTTCTCTTACAATAAATGAAGTAATTGATAATGATTATTAAACGTGAATGTCATTACATGAACTATTAACAAACCGACCCAAAAAATGTACCCAAACCTGATATGACCCGACCTGAAATCAACCCGATATCCATATCAATAACTATATACTAAAATACACACCAGCAATGACACGTGTCATCTCCTGGTGTGTCCTTATTTAATTTTTTTTTTAAGAAAAACATATTTCAAAAAGATCTTATACTAAATTAATGACTATTTTCATTAATATAGTAATTACTTTTAAAAAAAAAGATTTAGTATATTCTGTATCTTTAAACATACAAGATTGACAACTATAAATAAAAAAAAAAAAAATACTCCGTAATCAGATTTAACATATTTTGTGACTTTTGTACTACAAGAAAAATTATCATTGTTATGATTTACCTAAATATTTATCTAATTGTGTAACATTAACTTTATACTAAAGAGCAAATTTTGCTTGCCAAAATAATTTATTTCAATATATTTTTGTCCCTTCCCATTTACTTCCTGTTATTATTATGGAAACTCTAAATAAATTGGTAATTTTAACAAATATGACAAGAACTAATATTTAATTTGATTAAAACAAATATGACTTCATAGTGCGATTTCCACTCGCCAATTTTTTTCCCCCTGCATATTCTAATTGCTTTTTTATTTGTTATTGTGTGAAATAAGGTTTGAAGTATGAAACATTATACCCCTCTATTTTGTAATTGAATGAAAACCACATATGCATTGAGACGGTAGTATCTGTATGACTATATTTAAATTCATGTATATATCACAAACATTAGTCAATGTGGTGTATGTAATTTACGCAAAAGTTAAATTGAGAAAATTGACAGAAATTCTTATATTTACATACTTTTTACTCATTTTGATAAATATTATTCATTTAATTATCAATTAATCAAGAAACACTTTTGGGTGTATTTTGCTCCTTTGTGTAAACAATAATTTTCATAAAAATGTGATTAGTGATCGTGTAAGATGTTTTGTTAAATATTGTCAAACGGATTAATAATAACTTTCACAATATCGTGCATGGTACGGGATCTAAACTAGTTAACCCAATATTTGAGACCCGAACCCGAACATCACTTGACTTGGAAATGATCCGACCTGATTATAACCTGCAACTTTTTTACTTGAACCAAACCCGACTTGAACCCGAACATGACCGGACTTGTAAATGATCCGACCTGATTGTAACCCGTAAATAATTGACTTGAACCGGACCCGACTTGAACCCGAGAAAGACCCGACCTGATTATAACCCGCAAATTATTGACTTGAACCGAACCCGAATCAAACCCGAGAATGACCCGACCTGATTATAACCGCAAATTATTGACTTGAACCGAACCCGACTCGAACCCGAGAATGACCCTAACCCGTTTTAACCCGTGAAAACCCGAATTAAACCCGACCTATTATTCACCCGACTCGAATGTAACCCGACTTGTTATTAACCCGACCCAGACCCGATAAGATGTATGACCCAACGTTACCGAATTAAGCATGACCCAACCAAAACCCGAGCCGTATAGGTTACAACATTAACTCGAAATGACCCGACCTGAGTTTACCCGACCCAAACCCGACCTGTTTACTCGAATTGACAGCTCTAGCTATGAGAGAAGTGGCTAGACATGTTGTCGATGCTGTGGTCACAGGATAAAAGGTCCCCGGTACTATTGCATCTGGTTATTAGATTCCCCGTTCGTAGATCCTTCACAGAAAAACCATTAGGATCAACCTTGATTGACACAAAATTATCAGAAGTAAACTTTCTAACAGAAATTAAATTTTTGTTAAGTTGGGGGGGCTAAGTAAACATCACACAAGGAAAGATATTTATTAGCAATAGTGGAATGACTATAACCCATAATTGGAATGCGTTGATCGTTACCCACTTGAATATAATTAGATGTGCTTAAATTAAAAAGGGGTAAGAGATTACCTGCATTATTTGTCATGTGGTAAGTGGCTCCAGAATCCATGTACCATTACGGATCGTAATTGGGAAGACTCATCGTTGCGAACGCATTTCCAAGCTCGGTTGGAGTCATTGTCGAACCATACTCCGATCCATGAGAAGAGGAAGCTGCATGGGACTGTTGAGGAGGCCCAAAGAAATAGGCCTGCTGTGGCCTTGTTTGCTGAGGCGGGTATGGAGGTCGTGGGCTAGCCCATTGTTGAGGATAAGGGAATGGCGCCTAACCCCATTGTGGGGAGGCTTGCTGGGCCTGATTGGGTGGGCCATTCCACTGTGAAGGCTGTTAAGGTGCGCCCCATTGTGGGCCTGATTGTTGTTGCTGCTGTTATGGAGAACCTTGGGCACGACCCCTGCCTCGTCCTCGGCCGCGACCACGACCACGGCCACTGGAGCTAGGGGTGAAAGTTCGGTTTGTGGTGTGGTTTATAGCCCAAACCGAAACCAAACCACATTAATTCGGTTTTAGGATTTTTCAAACCACACCGCACCATATTATTATTGAAACCGAACCAAACCACACCGTTTTAAATTCGGATTTTAAAAATAAAACCAAACCACACCAAAATTTTTCATCCTCTTCCATTTTGCTCCATCTAACTGGTCGTTCACTCCAACATCGCCCACATTGGTTGATATTGTAGGACATAAAAAAAACACAAGTTTTATTATTTTTTGGCTTTATATATGTAGGGTAGAAATTAGTTTTGGGCTAAGCTATAATTTGGATATGGGCCATAGTTCGGTTTGGATTTCAGTTTTTGGTTTTTCAAATCTTAAAGCCGAAACCAAACCATATTAATTCGGTTTTGGGATTCCTCAAACCGCACCGAACCATATTAGAAAAAAAACCGCACCATATTTCTAATTCGGCTTGGTTTGCAGTTTGGTTCGGTTTTAAACCGCATTAGTTTCACCCCTAACTTGAGCCGCCACCCTAACTAGCCGGTGCCACTTGCTGCTGTTGTGTGGCCGTCGAGTTCGTAGTGGTGCCGGATTGAGCCACAAAAGAGGATGCCTGTGATGATGAGTTATTGGCTCGCCATGACTCCTCAAGTAGCAACCGAGACCTCGCTGTTTCGAATGAAGGCAACGGGGTTGTTTGTTGTATCATTGCAGCAACAGTATCAAAATCCGTATTCACTAGTCCCGAAACTAGCCAAATGACGAGTTTTTGCTCTGACACAGGTTGATCAACATTAGCTAGTTGATCCTTCAATTTTTTTTAATTCTCGACAATAAGAAGAGATGTTAGAGGATTTTGATAGATGCAATTGATTAAATTGATTTTCCAGATAAACCGCCCTAGTGGTTTTGTTATCATGGAAAATTTCCTTAAGTTTATCCCAAACTTGTTGTGTTGTATCCCCTTTGCACAAGATTGTTTCTAGCAAATCAGTGGAGATAGTACCATAAATCCAATTCTTGACAATGGAATCAAGCCTTTTCCACATTGTGTCAGAAAGGTCTGTAGGATGTGGTGTTTTTGGGTCAATATGATCAAGAACATCAAAAGCATGAGCATGACACTCAAATAACTCAACCCAATTGGAATATGGGACTTTTTCACGATCAAGAATTAGAGGAATAGCATTCTTAATGTTATTAACACCAAGAACCGGATGAAAGGCTATGGATTCACCGTCCTTGACCATGGTGGAAGACGGCAGTGGTGTTAGGGGTGGCTTGGGGGGACGCCTAGGGCACAAAAGAAAAATAAAAAATTCAGGAAAAGGAAAAAAATTTGCGGAAGCTAGGTTTGATCTAAAACCTAGGCTGTGATACCATGTGAGATAATGTAAACTCCTTGGCTTGGAGTGTATTCCATTGATTCATATATATAGGGTTACAGCCATGAATCCTATTATCATAGGAAATCTCAAAAGATATCTACATAATATTCACAAAACTATATCCTTCTATACAAGATAATATCTAGAATAAATATCATATTCTATCAAATCTTTACCTAAAAACAATATGTACAATTTCCACCACAAGGGAACTTATTGCACTTAGAAAATCATCTTTTTCTTTTTTCATTATACTACAAAATGTGTTTTCTTTTTTGCAAAAGCAAGAAAAAAAAATTTAAAAAATCCATTGAAACCTTCAAAACAATGAAAATTTTATAGTTTTCGTTTGAAATATGAGTACCATAATGTTTTCATGATTATTTAGTTCATAATTGATAATTTTGTTCCAAGTAATCAATTATATTACTTTATTTTTGGTATAAAATAATATTATCAACATTTTTTTAATTTATCAAATTTTAGTTTTATATAAGTAACTTTTATTCTTATTTTATAGTTTCTCGAAAATTATTTATTTTATGTTGGATTAAAATTTTCAAAAATTATATTTGCATTATTATAGATATTAGAAGAAAAAATGTGTCCATTTTATAATGTGAAAAAACAAACCGATTACATTATTTATCATTAAAATAAAATGGTAGTCATTTTCAAACGACCGCTGTAAAAATATCCTCACAACATTTACATAACCTTATTTCTTAATTTTTTCTTAGAATTTTTAATTTTATTTCTTACATTACTAATGTTATCAATATATTTCGTGCATTATTTACATGGTTACATGTACTCCAATGATTGTATATACATAAGTCACTTAAAGTGGAAGTTACAATAAAGATTGAATAACTCTAAGCATTTATTAAAGCCCTAGTGGGTGTCTTCTCACCAAAAACATGAAAAAAAATCAAGTCGTGTGTCTACCATCCGTCTAACGCAATAGTGTATAAAATTTACCTAATGCAAAGGATAATAGGATGAAATAACTCCTAAATCCTCGCGCAAGCTAACTAGCTAAGTCATCAATAATATAGAATACAGACAAAATATACACTTAGTCAATATCAAAATTTCCATCAACCACCGAATTTTTATTAGTAGAAAAAATTGATCTATTTACGTTAATGTTCATTATTTTTCTTATATATATGGTCCCATGCAATGAACCATGTCTCACAAGTCAAAAACAACTAACTAGAGTTATACAAGAGAAAAAAGAGATCATAAAAACAATGGCCTCTTCAAAAGTTGTCCCACTTTTTCTAGTATTGTCATCATTAGTAGTAGGAATCTCAAAGGGTCAAAGTAGATGATTTCAAAGTAGTGAACCATGAGTCTCTCATACTCATTCTGCAAACACGCACAAACCCTCTTTCCTGGAGGGCTTAACTCGAGTTCTATGAACTTCCACAATAATCACAAGGATGAAGTGGTGGTTGTAATGGGTGCCACAGGTACAGGGAAGTCGAAACTTTCGATTGACTTGGCAATTCAACTTCAGGCTGAGATTATAAATTCCGATAAGATTCAAGTGTACAAAGGGCTGGATATTGTCACGAACAAAGTGACAGAAGAAGAGTGTAGGGGTGTACCCCATCATCTGTTAGGGATAATCGATCCTGATGTTGAATATAATGCTAATGATTTCCGGCATGATGCCTTGCTTGCTATTGAATCCATCATCGAACAAGACAAGCTTCCGATTATAGCAGGTGGATCGAACAAGACAAGCAAGGCAAGCTTCCGATTATAGCAGGTGGATCGAACAAGACAAGCAAGGCAAGCTTCCGATTATAGCAGGTGGATCCATCATTGATCCACCTGCTATAATCGGAAGCTTGTCTTGTTCGATGATGGATTCAATAGCAAGCAAGGCATCATGCCGGAAATCATTAGCATTATATTCAACATCAGGATCGATTATCCCTAACAGATGATGGGGTACACCCCTACACTCTTCTTCTGTCACTTTGTTCGTGACAATATCCAGCCCTTTGTACACTTGAATCTTATCGGAATTTATAATCTCAGCCTGAAGTTGAATTGCCAAGTCAATCGAAAGTTTCGACTTCCCTGTACCTGTGGCACCCATTACAACCACCACTTCATCCTTGTGATTATTGTGGAAGTTCATAGAACTCGAGTTAAGCCCTCCAGGAAAGAGGGTTTGTGCGTGTTTGCAGAATGAGTATGAGAGACTCATGGTCACTACTTCTAGTTGTCCGAGTTTAGATTCCATTATTAGAAATCATCTTTCGCAAGTTTTTCAAAGTGATATAACCCAAGCTGCAGGCTTGCTCCGCCTTCATTTTCATGATTGCTTCATTCAAGTAAATATTAATTTATAAAATTGTAAAAATTATGCGTATATCTTGTTGACTTTTCTACCTTTTTGTAGTCGTAATAACCTGATATGAGGTTTAAGGCAAAGACAACTTATTAATTATTATTGTAGCATATCTTAGTTACAATAATCTTGTAATTTCTAGTGGTTTCAAAGTGGATTTTATTAAATTATTGCTAATCATGACTTTTCATTAATTCTTAACAATGTAATTATTTTGTAAGGGATGTGATGGTTCCGTATTGTTGGATGGATCAGCTAGTGGTCCAAGTGAGAAGGATGCTCCTCCAAACTTGACGCTTAGGTCTCAAGCATTTCAGATTACAAATGATCTTCAATTCGTGTGCTTGTGCATCAACAGTGTGGACGAGTTGTGTCTTGTGCTGATATCACTGTCCTTGCAGCTCGTGACTCTGTTTATCTGGTATAATTACTTTTACATCCCCTATGGTTTATTGAATTAGGTGATAAATATTTCTATGCTTTCAAATTATAAGACAATATATTTTGAAACCTACATCTGATCTTTATTTGAGCATATTCATGGTTAATATGGAATTACTTGCTCATGTTCCTTTACTATTATTACACTTTACACGGTTTTGAGTTTACGATCATGCATGCAATGTTGATATGGAATTTCTTGCTTATGTTCCTTTACTATTATTACACTTTACACGGCTTTGTATAGATATAAATTTCCAAACCAATCGAATTGACAGTACACATACCTCCAGAGAAGGGGAATCATTCAAGGAATCAATTCTTTTAGATAGAAGAAAAGATAAAAGCTTCTTCTATCTAAAAGAATATATGTACAAATTTCTAGTTCAAATCCCCTAAAGATAAACCATAACATGACGATTTAACATTCAGCAGCCGCACATACCTTAATTATATAGCCAAGATATTGCACTATGATGTCCAGCGTTAATCTCTCGTGATCAAGATTTTTCTTTTCTAGTAATTCAGAGAGGAAAGAGATTAGCTGATTGGTTATCAATTGCATAGCCAAATTGTCCAATGCTTGCAACTATAATGTGTCAGATGGTTGAGTTGAGTGATGTGCTTAATTCCCAAGTTCCATCTGATTTGTATTCTGCATATAAGAGTTTGGCTAGTGTATGAGTAAAAAACAAAAGGTGTTGCTATACTTCTGAAATGATCCATGCAATTAATGGTTACTAAGTTTTCATGAATCATGGGACACATTCTGGCAAAGACATTCCCCACTTCATGCAAAGGAACATTATAATATATGACAGCAGCACAAGAAAAGCAAGACAAAGAAAAGGGAACCAAAGCTGTGCTAAAAATAGTTCTTGGATTATTTTAAGTGAAGATATCAGCATCAAGCAATAAGAATGAGCTATTGTTCAAAGTTTGATGATAAATTATCTGAAAGATTGGCTAGTATCCAAAAGACAGAAAGCAATTGCAACGATTGATCTTCATTCAGCTTCATCATATAAGTTTCCTGCAATAATTCAAAGTCATTAGAAACACCTCAATAAAGGTTCCTGCATTACTTGAAAATCAGTCCACGATACAATTTGAGATTTCTAGTATTTCAGAATATGCACTATACAGTATATAAGAAGAGAGGGGAAAAACAGAGCAATGAATTTTACTACAGCACAAAGCATAACACAATTTACACTTCTTGACGCTTTACAATTGGAAAATCATGGAAAAGACTAGACACCCTAGCATCAGCAGTTAATTTACTGTAATAGAAATATAAATAGATACCTCACGAAGAACAATTTGATTAATATCTAAGGTCCAAAAAAAGCTCCAATCTTAGCAAACTTGCCCTACAATTCATTTGATAAACTTCTGAAGCAGGCCCTTGGGCGAGTCACTTATGTTATCAGAAGACAAGAGGTCAACAAATAATGCGAAAGTGTCTGCATCAGCTTCAAACTCTTTACCTACCATAAGATCACGATAGTATAATGCTTTTGCATCATTATTGAGAATATATCCTCTGATGATTGTATTATAGGTGATACCATCAGGGAAACAACCGTTGTCCTCCATTATCCTCAATAATCGAGCAGCTTCAGTCATGAGCCCTTTCTTGCAGTAGCCTTTAACAAATATATTGTATGTTTTAGAGCTAGGCTGCAGACCCTTTGACACAAGATCAGAGAAGAATTTTGCTGCATCTTCAAGTTGCCCAGCCTCACACAAGCTGTCCATAAGGATACTGTACGTGACAGTATCAGGCTTAATACCTTTATCCTCCATATCTTCAAGTAATGCCACTGCCTCATCAAGCCGTTTACATTTACATAGGCCATCAAGCAATGAACTATATGAGACAACATCAGGAGTAACTCCGTGAGCTTGCATATCAATGAACAACTGGCGTGCAAGTGTAAGTCTATTGGCTTTACACGAGCCATCAATAAGGGTGTTAAAGGTTACAACATCTGGTGTTATTCCTTTCTGAAACATATTTTCTAATACAGTAAGAGCCTTATCAGTGTTTTTGAGTTTGACATATCCATTGATCATAGAATTGAAGCTCACAACCATTTTGTTCCATGAGGTCAAGTAGCTTTTCAGCATCTTCCATCTGACCACGCAAACAATAACCATCAAGTAAAGCATTGCAAGTAAAGATGTTTGAAGTAACACCTTTATGAGTCATGAGCTGCAATGTGGCTTGTGCTTCCTTAACAAATCCATCTTTACAAAACATGTCAACCAGTATGCTGAAGGTTGTAACATCAGGTGCTATGTAGTGAGAGCACTGGCATTGTCGCCGATACTACAAAGGCCTTTGAAAATAGCACCATAGGTAACTATATTTGGTTGGAAACCTAACTTGATAATCTTATTCAACAGCTGAGTAGCAAGGGGAAGCTTACCACAATGGACATAGCCATTAATCAAGGAATTATAGGTAACACAATCAGGGGATAACCAAGCTTGAGACTTTTACCAAGAAGAGAAAACCCAAAATCGATAAAGCCCAAGTGGCAGTAAGAATTGGCGAGAATGGTGAGGGAATAATTGTCAGGAGGAAGGCCAAGTAAGTCAAGGCGTCTGGAGAGAGAAATAATGGTGGAATGAGGATGAAGCCATTTCAATTTGGAAATGGCAGTAAAGAGTTGGCAGAAAACAACGATTGAAGGAAGAGGGCGCAAAGCAGTCAATTGATGGAAGAGAGATTGTGGAAGTTTAAGATCGGAAAACCCTAAATTGCATGTTGTTTAACAGAATCGAGAAATAGGTGACGATCATCAATTGCAACAATTCTTTTTTTAGTGGAAAAATATCGAAAATGAAAAGGAAAGGGGGGAGAAATTAAGGTAAAAGGAGGAAAGAGAACAGTACCGCCATTAAAACCCAGAGCTGTACTCTTCATCATCACCATCTTCATCTTCATCTTCATCTTCTCAATTGTTAACGAAAATAGTGCAGGGACTCGGGAGCTTTTGGGAGGTCGAATGAGAGTTTACAATTGCTAGACGTTGCACCCAAAGTGCGTGCCATAGATGTTCACCTTGGAATAGTTTTGCTAGGATATGGCTCGGACCGGACCGAAACGGTTAATTTTTTTTTTTATACTACGTATATGCATTTAGTCACATAGAGTTTTTCCTTAAATAAAAAAAGGGAAATTCTACGTGGTGGTCTCGTGGTTTTGAGTTTTATACGTGGAAGACGAATTTTTTCGCAGCTCTTTTAAGTGGCACCAGGGTTTAGAAAAATTGACATAGTGACCTTTTTTAGGTTTATGGCTAACCTTTTAATTAAAATGATTAACCTTTGATTTTTTTTTTTATTAAAAAATTATATAAATTATATTTTAAAATAATAAATTTTTTAAAAAAAAAATTAGAAATCCCAACCACATCCTCCTTCCCTTCCCTGATTACCCCATCCCCACCGCCCACCGGCCAACCCACACTGCACCACCCCTTTCCCGTCACGCCAGCCACCCCGCTCACCCACCGTCGAATCCCCTAACCCTCGAAAAACCTGCCTACCTGAAACCTAGCCCATAAAACCTCCCCGACCTGCCTGAAACAAAGCTCGAAGCAATCGCATGCACAACCAACAACACCAAACAACCACCATCACAACCAACCTGAACTTCGAATTATGCTTCAATTTGAATGTAGGGATGGTGAGTTCACGAGGGTGGTGGTTCAAGGGGAAAGGGGAAGGGCCGACAGGACGGTCAAGTGGTGCGGTCGGCCAATTTTCGTTGAACTTCGTGTGCTTGTGCATCTACGGTGTGGACGAGTTGTGTCTTGTGCTGATATCACTGCCCTTGCAGCTCGTGATTCTGTTTATCTGGTATAATTACTTTTACATCCCCTATGGTTTATTGAATTAGGTGATACATATTTCTATGCTTTCAAATTATAAGACAATATATTTTGAAACCTACATCTGATATTTATTTGAGCATATTCATGGTTAATATGGAATTACTTGCTCATGTTCCTTTACTATTATTACACTTTACACGGTTTTGAGTTTACGATCATCCATGCAATGTTGATATGGAATTTCTTGCTTATGTTCCTTTACTATTATTACACTTTACACGGCTTTGTATAGATAGACTAATAGAGAATATTTCCATATAAATTATGTAAAGATATATCTTGTGTCACTTTGTGAAGTTATATCATTCATCTCATATCTGGGTTGTACACCTACTTAAATATATTGCTTAATTAAAATATTACACATGATAGAAACCTACATAGATACACAATTCTACCGGAGTGTTAGACTACCATAGTACTATTATTATCCTTACCAAGTACAAAAGTTTTACTTTTGTTATTACCTTGTATATTTTTTTAAAGCTGCTGTACCTTTGTAATTTAGATACCAAATGAGGACAATTTCAGATACTTTATTATAGTACACGCTTTAAATAAATAAGTTAACCTATAATTTAATTCAAGTTTTTCCCTCTGAAAAAAGTTCTAAAGAAGTCCATAGAAATAAACAAATAAAGACGACGCTCCATTTTTAGAGTCTAAGACGTGCTTGGTGAGTATGTCATGTGTATATAGTCGGATACTGAACATATCACCTACTGAACTATTTGCTATAATATTTGCTTGTCTTGCTAAGCACGTTACCAACTCGTTACTTAGGACTAGTTAGGAGGGTGCCCAAGAGTCAACATTTAGATGAATAAGATAATTGCTTGTTTTAAAGTCAACTAGCGGAAATGGTGTCTAGCGTGAAAACAATTGGCTTATCCAAAAGAGTAGAGGACTCACCATTAAAATATACTTTGTACTTTTAGTAGAACTACAATAACGAATAAATTTGACATTTTTTTAATTTCTAATATTTGATTTGTACGATTTTAATCATACAAACTAATGAAATATGAGGTAAAATTTTATATCTTTTTCCCTTGAAAGAGAGGGCGTTTTTTTCCCTGCGACTAGGGTTTCCCACCTTTCGAAGAGAGGTGTATCCACCACCGAGTGTGGTTGATTCAGGCAATTTCAATGGCGGAAGAATTAGCGGAACAATACTCGAATTTAAACATTAACATTGAAGAGGAAGAAGTTATTGACGTTGGAGATGTTCAATCATCCGATCATATCTCTAGGGTTTCATTGATTCTAGTTGGTAAACTCTTGACAGATCGTGGAGTTAATTTCGATGCTTTTAGACGTACAATAACCCAAGCATGGTCGATGATGGACAAGGTGATAATACGTAACATTGACTCGAACCGGGTTGCTTTTCAGTTTTTTCATTGGAAATATATGGAGAGGGTTCTCAATGGCAGACCTTGGAGCTTTGAACAGAACTTATTAATCCTCAACTCTATCCAAGGGGATGAACAACCCTCTGAGGTAAAACTAACCCACTCTCTTTTTTGGATAAGTATTGAGGACTTGTCGTTTACTTGCCGGACTCATGAGCACATTAGAACCATGGGGGCGAGGCTAGGTGAGATAATTGAAGTAGAACTGATACTATAGCGATTTGCAAAAGCAGGCGTGTTAAGGTGAACCTTGATGCGCATAAACCTTTGCGTAGATTTTTAACTGTGAAAACTAGGGAAGGTAACATTGTGAAAGCTGGCCTGAAATATGAGAGACTCCCTTTTTCCTGTTTTGCGTGTGGTTTGATGGGGCACAGTGAAAAGGATTGTTTAAATGTGGCGGAAGATTCTATTAATAATGGCCATGGTTGGGGAATATGGCTTAAAGCCTTTCCAATGAAGGGGAGGAAGCAGGAAGGGGAAGAATTGCGGGAGATGTTTGAGGTTAAGAAGGTTACTTTTGTTCCAAAATCTCTTTCTTTCGATAAGGTTGAAAGTGCTGACAGTCAAGGTGGAAAGCAGACAATAGAAAACCAGAACAAGTCTATTGTGTGCAGAGAGATAGTGGAGACGAATGACTTGGAGGGGAAAGGGAGGAATACAACAAATCATCAGTCTGATGTTAATGGTGCTGGGAAGGTGCAGGAAGGGGTATAAGGTCGGATATGCGCACTAACTCTTCTGATTGGAAGGAGGATCATGGTGCTTTAATAATGGTTGAGCAGGGAAGGGCGGAAGGCGATCTTAATAATATCATGACGAATTCCCAGGAGGGACAAGGGGGGATGGAGGGTAGTGTTAATCAGGAGGCTGCGTTAAATTATGACAGTGTGCTTCATGATCCTATTAATACACTTAATTTCACTAGTGGTGTAACGGGGGGTGAGCAGATGGATGGTTTTGTGAATGCCCAGGAGGGAAAAGGTGGTTGGTGGGTGCTGTTATTCAGGAGGCTTGCTTCAATAATAACGTGTTACATGACTCTTGTAACAACCAAAATTTCAGTATTGGTGTTAGGGGGGGGGGGGGGGGGGGGGACTGGTTTGGTGAATAAAGCGAAGAAGCAGACTGGAGGCAGAAAGAAGGCAGCGAGCACATTTATTTTATAAGATTGAACATCTTTTACTATAAATATGAACATTTATACAACTGAACAAACATAATAATTTGTATTAAATAAAAAAAATGAACATTTATTTTATAAGATTGAACATCATACGGCATGAAAATGAACATTTATTTTATAAGAATGAATATCATACTGCATGAAAATGAACATTTGATTATTGTGAATTACAAAATTATTGTAAAATATATTTTGCTAGAAAATATTCATTTTTGTTATAATAAATATTCATATTTATGACGACCTCATAAATAGGTAGCTGGGCTTGGCCTCAGTTATTAATGGTTGCTTAGAAATTATTGTCAACCAGTTTGTTTGGGCTTGAAGTATTGTTTAGGTACAATTCAATTTGGATTTTAATGAGGCCAAGTCAACTTGTATTGGGCCTTATTTAAGGGTGTATAATAACTTTAAATTTGGTTTTGAAATATTGCTTACAATCTAATCCATTTTCTATTAAATCCAATTTGATTGTGAATCTTTGCAATGCCAAGTACTTTTTTTGGCCTA